GCAGTAAAGATAACTGGCAGCTACATAGCTGTCCTATCTAACTCATTGGTACCCAGTCTTGCTATCCTGCCCTAAAGCAAGGCAATTAACCCTGCCAGAGGTAGTAAGATAGCTCCATCTGCTCGCTGTTAAAAAAGCATCCACAAGTACAAAAGAGAGTGTGGAGTTAATTAAACTTTTTTTTTTGTTGGCAATAGAGGTGTAATAAATATCTGATTTCAATCAGGGATTCAGGTCAAGTGTCTACAATAGGGCTGCAAAGATACAAACATCAACTGCGTCTGCCTTCTGACCGGGCAACTCGATCAGAGTTTCTGTGACACTTTCCCTGTAAATGAAGCTGGATCTTCCCTCCTCTCATCTCTTCTCTTCTGACGTCTAAGATGTTTTGGTCACGCTTTTATACTGACTAATCTAAAATCCTTGCTGCATATCATTACACCGTCCCCTGTCGTTTTCATTTGTTCCCATTTGGTTCAGGGCCAACGTGGTTACAAGATGTACTGTCCTCTTCAAGGCTCGTTTGTAAGATGAGATTTAAGGACAAATTTTTCTGTAGCCATACGGTATCTCTGGCCAAGATTGAAAACTTGATAAAACAGTGAACACTGAGAGATAAAAAAAAATACTGTGTTCCTGTTGTAAGCACAGATTGATATCTTGAGGTTCAAGCTATCTTGAGGTTTTGATTTTACAACAAATACTTACAAATAATTTCATATGAAAAATAGAAGCAATGATGTTGCCAAAAAGATCAAATGATAAAAATGAGGCCATCTACTAACTTAAAATATAAAGTGAGTGGGCAGTATAGCCAGGTGTTAAGTGATGAGATATAGTAAAGCTAATTTGTTGATGTGATTCTTTTTCCTAATGATTTACTGCATATTCAGAAATAATGAATAAAGCAGATTATTGGCGTGCTCCATCATTGTACCGTATCAGATCATTGACCGAGAGGTGAATCAAATTGTGTCAAATGATTGCATGTTTGAGTGTATCCATCGGTATAATTTATCTTGGACCACAGAGCCGAGAGGGAAAGTGGAGAGGCAGCGACTGAGCACGCCCCTGGTAGCCAAATTATCACAGGCAAATGTGTCCTTGGTGGAGGCTTCTATTGCCCATCCCAGAGAGCTGGTACAGCCATAGCGAGGAGGCAGAGCGAAAGTGGGGGGGAGGGGAGGGAGATGAATGTCACCCTTGCTCTCATATGTCATATTGTTAACCATAGATATGAGGAGAACGCCTCAAGGTTGAACGTGCAGCCGAGACATGAATAATCTATCAGAGGTTTCCTCCAACTAAATAGAGGGAAATGTGTCTGCATGGATTATTTATGCTTTAATATGCACACGGTGAATGGACAATCACCTCTGAGAGCATGAAGACATCGTAGGAGCCAAGTTAATTGTGTGTGTCTGGAATGCATGCAGGCTGGCTGCGTGAAAGGCAGTGGTTGTCTTTCTGTTAAGCTTGGTTACACGTAGGGTCTATATTTTGTGGCTTGGTGATGGATTACAGTCATGGCGTGCTCTGGTTGGAAAGTGAATTCAGGTTTGTATTATTTATGTACAAGCTTTCGCCCAAATCATCGATCTTTGTGCTTTGACATGTTGTTTGTATTTCCTGAGTCAAATCTCGAAGCAGTCGTGTGCAAACACAGGCACACGCACGCAAGTGCTTCTCAGTGTGTGCAGATGAATTCTTTCACCCCCACACCATTTAAATGCAGTCCATCTCCAAGTGGTCTGGCCTCCACTTTCCAGCTCACCTTATTTCCTCTTCAGATGACTGCCTCGACATGGGAAATGTCAGGCTCTCTTTGCCAGCACTGTTTGGCTTCTTCAAACATTTGTGAAGTGTTAAGCTCATCTCTACAGCTTAGGAGGGCAGTCTCTCAGGAATCTAGGCTGCTGACCCGCAACACAGCAAAGACAGCCTAGCCAAGTGCACTCAAGCACATCCACTCTGCCCGCTCATTTGCATCAACGAAAGATTGTATTAGTCCCAAGTTCGTGGTCTTTACAGCAGCACTCTCGCCGCGCTGTAAAGGTCCATGCATCGCATAATGGAAATGATGGGGTGGCTTACAGCTCCTAACAGTCAGGTTGTCTTCTCACATTCAGTGGAGAATACCAGTGAAAATGCTGCACAGGTCTGCTTCATTCTCACTCCTTTAAATGTTATACAAAGCCCAAGGATACATTTTCAATCCTCACATTAACATAACGTTCAAAAGTTCACCTACTGACTATGGTTTCAGACTTCAAACGGCAACAAGCTTGTTACAGAAAGATAAATAACACAGATTTATAATGTGGTTTTGGTCCCACATTCAATACGTGAGGAAAAAGATTCATCATGAGGAATCAAGGTTTAAACCATTAACATTCAGAAGGCAAAGTGAAAGGTGACAACAAGCTGTTTTCTGTTAATTAGAAAAAGCGTGGCAATGCTGAATCTATGACTGTGTTTCAGTTCAAATATTGCTGTCTGCCACTTGTGCCAGTGACACTTTCAGTGGGCTACACAATCATCAACAATGCCGAAATTAAGCTCCTATGAATAGACTTGCCTAATTCCTCTTAACAAAGAAAGCTGCCTCAGTTTCTGTTGCAGGTTTTTGTTCCAGAAAAGTGTATTTTAGCAAGTGTTGCATTGCTGTAAGAAATGGGGAAGTGTGGTGGTGTTTGTCTGCAGCGTTTGGCTCCACAAACAGGCAGAGATGCATTGCATATCTCAAAACCAATATGCAAATTGGCCTGAGCTGCTGCATTTGTTTAGAAGCCTGTGCAAGCAGCCTTTGGATTTCACTGGAGAACTGTGTTAAATGCTGGTGTTTTATTGCACTCTTTGGTTTGTCTAACTCGCAGCGTTGTAAAAAATTATTGATTTATCAATACATATCTAATCTGGATATTGAAAACGATTTAAATACTCATTCTCTGCAGTGTCAATACACTGGTATCAGCTGCACTTTCTGGTTTCCTCCTATTGTTAATGTCTACAACAGTCATTCTACTGTTCTCTGCCACTACCTAGAGCATAAGTCATCTTGTTATAGACTTGTTATACTTATCTTTTAAAGTTTATGTCCTCAGTGTCAACTTTTGGTATTGAAAATGGTAGTGGTTGTGAATATTTGGTAATTCTTTACTTGAAGGTAGCTATATAAGGGTGACATAACACTGCCATGAACATGTCATGAACATTATGTGCATGTCATAAACGTTTATGACTGCTGTCATTAAGTGTCACTCAGTTTTTGTAATGACACGTTGACATTGTTTGGATTGTCTTGATTATGACAACTTGACATTAATCAAAGTGACATTACCAGAAGTTGTCTTTGTCATGACAACTTGACATTAACAAGAAATGCAACTCTGTTTGTGTTTATGACAAGTTGACATAGTGATTGTTACAAAGACATCTTCTGGTAATGTCATCCTGGTTAATGTCAAGTTGTCATAACAAAGACAACTTCTGGTAATGTCACTTTAATTAATGTCAACTTGTCATAATCAAGACAACCCAAACAATGTCATCTTGTCATTACAAAAACCGAATGACACTTAATGGCAGCAGTCATAAACATTTACGACATGCACATAATCTTCATGACAGGTTCATGACAGTGTCATGTCATCCTTATGTAGATACCTCCAAGTAAAGAATTACCAAATATTGACAACCACTACCATTTTCAATACCAGAAGAAACAATGTCAACTTGTCATTACAAAAACCGAATGACACTTAATAACAGCAGTCATAAACGTTTATGACATATACATAATGTTTATGACAAGTTCATGGCCATGTCATGTCATAGTTATGACAGTGTCATGTCACCCTTATGTAGATACCTTCAAGTAAAGTGTTGCCCAATATTTTTCAAGGTATTGTATTACGGTTAGAAATCCCAGTATTGTAACAACACTACTATCCTGTACCTTTTTGAGTTTACACTTTATGTAATGGCAAGATTGACAGAGGTTTGCACACACCAAAGCACTGGCAAACATTATACACAACCAGTGTTTCAATATATTTTCAGCTAGTTTTAACTGACCACTTACTATATATTACGTTGTGTGATGTGTGGATGAGGATGAGAAACGAGGAACTAGTTGTACCAATTTTATTTGTATAGTCCCAACTATTAGGAACCCGTCTTTTTTTGTTCTCTCGGTTGTCTCCTCTTGGTTTCATCCCACCCGGCCAATGGAAAAATTCCATTTATGGGACAACAGATGCTCCATTTTTTTTTCTCCCCTCTATTTTTTTCACTTCACGCCCAAGAGGAGAAAAAAATGGGCTCCTCTTTTTATTTTATTATTATTTTTTTAACCAAGTTCTGGATCTGTTTGACACATGAACACTCCAATAATCAGCCAGAGTGTGCATCCCTCTGAATAGAGATGAAAGAGGGGAACACACACACTCACACTCACACACACATGCACGCACACACAACAACAAGGAGCACACAAATAAACAGGCACAAACACACAGGGAGGAAGCACAAGCCATTTGGCACAGCCTCTCCGTCTAGGGAGGGCTTCAAAGCCCACTGACATGAATTTATGATAACGGCACTATGCCTTTGCCAAACCTCAACTGTTGTTGTTTTTCTCCCGCTCCCTCCCCAACCCTTCTGTATGCTCTGCCATCCCCTTGATCAGAGCTTTGGAAAATGCTAGCAGGTGTCCCCCAGTCCCTTGGAAAGGTGTGTGTCTGTGTGCATGTACATGTGCACGCATTCACATGTGTGTTTGGAATGGGACATCCTTACCTGGCTCTTCCATTTTTTCTATGCCATTTCATTATGCTTGTCTAACTTTGGGCTCCAACTCTTTGTACAGTTCAGTACCATAAATGGTTCTATGATTCTATTACCCTCTCGCTGTGTGGTTTTACTCTCCTCTATGAACACTACTGACATAAATATCGCTTTCTTCTCCATCCATCCCCTCCCTTTCTTTCTATCTGCAGATGAGGATTGTGTAAATTGTACAGAGGAGTGCCGAGTACTGGGTCATTCTGACCGCTGCTGGATGCCCCAGTTCCCCGCTGGAGGAAACCAGGCAGAGGGTGTCGACTACCGCAACAATATGTTCGTGCCAGCGGGGATGGAGACTGTTCCCGAGACAGAGACCTACGAGACTGTCAACCCCAATGGCAAGAAGACGTTCTGTACGTTTGGAAAAGAGAGGCGTGATCACACCATCCTGGTCGCCAATGTCAAGCCCTACTTGAAGGCAAAACGTGCCCTCAGTCCACTGCTCCAAGAGGTACCTTCAGCCTCTGGCAGTCCCACTAAGGGCTGCTCCACCATGTCTCCCTGCTCTTCAGTCAAAAGCCCAGCTGACGGAGCTGAAGGCAAACCTCCCCCTGCCACCTGCTCTGGCCACTACGGGCCTCCTGATGGTCAGTACCTGTCACCAACCAAACAAACCAGAGACCAGGGGGTCTACCCACCCTTGCCTCCCTCAGACCCAGTGGCCAAGGTGCTTGCAGAGGCCCGCTCCAGGATCAGCCAAGAGGCAGCAGGTGAAATGGAGTGTGTTCTGGAGCAGGTGGAGCCCGACGCGAACCGTGACAGAATGGACGCTGACCAGGTGGTGAGAGACATCGACAAACTATTGCAGGACTGCAGAGGAAGTGAGGCCACTGGCACACTCAGGAAGTGACACAGAGGACTGCAGCAAAAAGAAGTATGGATGTAGAGAGAGGAATAAAATGCCGTTCCAAAAACTCTCATGCCAAAACTGACACCAAAACGAATCAAAAAGGTTAAATAGCTCTTACGATAAGAGCTCTTTTCACTGTATTTGTTGTTGAAAAGTACCGACACTGGACGGATGATGGGAACATTTATTATGTCAGTCATTTGGCACCAGTTTTGGTGCTAAGATCCCTCCCAACAAAAAGGAACTGGGTAACAAACATCTGAATTCTGCTGAATTTATAAACTATTTTGTTTTGGATTCTTAAGCAAATTGCAGAGGCTTATGCCTCTGGCTCCTCGCAAGCTATTATCTAAGTGCCCACCAGCTCATAAGTGTGTTGTTCATGGTCTCTTGTGAAATCCTACATAACTAAGTGTGTGTAGGTGGATTTCTGTTATGTGTGATGGCCATAGAAACTGAATGAAAAAGGACTATTTATGGTCAGACATGACAATCGATGTGGAAACAGTGAAACAAATTCTAATCTATTCGGGACAGTGAAAGACGGAAGTACACAAAAACGACCTTATCTTTTCTGACTTTAATATAGGTGTTTAACGTGTGATGGATCCTGTATCTGAAGAGATTGGTTAATCAGTGTGTTCGTAGGGGTTGGTCACGGACTTGGGGATGGAGGGGCTTAAATGCTACGCTGAAGGAGAATTATTAACAGTGTAACCATGTTTCACCTGTCATTTGTAGCCACATGTGTAAGCTGTGTCTGTCTCACGCCTCTATTTAAACATTCATGTTGCTGACTGGTGTAGTTGCATGCACCAATTTTACACACATTTTACACATGTGCACTACACTCTGCGCGTACACATGCACTGATGCCCCCACACACACATGCAAACACACAAACACTAATGCTTACACACATCTGGCCATCTGTGTAATTGTCTTATACACGAACATCATCAGCTTTCAGTCCCTTGTGTACAGTGAATTATCATGTGTGTGACTATGCCTTAAGGCAATCACGAGTTGTATAAAAAGGGACATTTTTTCCTCAACTGTGAAAAGATGATATCTATATGGTTATATAGATGACTATATGTATGAATCCATGTATAGTGTCCAAATATTAACAAAATATTTATACATTTTGTAAGAAAAAAAGAAATGAGGAATCTCAGCAAAAAAGTGTCCTCGAGTTAAGGTCAAGTTGAGGGGTATTAACTCAAAGAACTGCAAAGGACACTGCCATTGTTTCGAAGACAAATATCCAAAAATATGAATAAACAAGAAAATGTCCCTTCACATTATCACTATACATAATATCATTATATGTGTAAATGTATCCGATTTAGATGTGTTTACATCAAAAAAACTGACATATTTTTATTGATTTTACTGCAATTTCTGTGCATTTGAGCCAAATTGTTATGTGTACAAAAGCTATATTGTGTATTTTATTAAATTAATATATAGTTGTGTTGCAATATACATGGGCTTATATTGTATTTGGCAAAAGTTGCCTTAGTAGCTGTCGAACTCTGTGAGTTTGCTTTAGTTTGGGTTTTTGTTGGTGTTTTTTTTTTTTTTTTACTCCTCTCTATTCTGCGTCTTTGCAGGCTGGCTTCAGTGCTTTTGAGATGTCGCCTCTTTTTACCCGAAAGGTCCAGCTGGATCAAATACAATAACTGTTGAAAGCTTAATGAGCCAGCTGATCTAGAATACAATTCAAACCAACAAACAAAAAGCAACAAACCACAAGATAACAGTTTGAATATTTTTACTGAGCAGATTTTTACAGGGCAGCTATTTTCTTTAACAATAACGTATGCGTGTCTTGTGTTCATTATGTTTTTACTTTCTTTCCAAAAAAGAAACCTGCCATATGGAAAGTGGAGTGGTTTCCTTGGTGATCATAAAACTGCCTTACTGTCTCTGCGGAGAGCTTGTTGTATCTGTGGAGCTTGTGACTGCTTATAAAGCCCTGGTCCACCAGAATGTGCATTTTCTATTAAGGACCAAAAGAGGTTCTTTTTCAGCAGTCTGTGTTGTTTATGTATGTACTCCTTCTCGATACATGTTAGAATTCTCATACTTTGCAGAGAAACTTGACATCTGAAATTCTATCTGAAGTTACTTTGGATTTGATGTCTTAGCTGTTTAGGTACACGGTTTATATAACCAAGTGTCTTCACATTCAGGCTTTCTTAAAAAAAATAATACAGACATTTATTTTTGAAAATTTTGGCACATTTCGGCCACTCTCTGAAATAAGAGAAGTGCTTTTTCTAATATACTCTGACAGTAAAATAAGCAGAACAGTAGGCTATTAGACTAGATGTGTTTTGGAAAAATATGACCACAATCACCAAATCTATGTAAGATGCAGCCATGAGAGGGAACAGTGACTTGCATTCATCTATATGGCTCCTGGTGTGTTTACTGTGAAGTGAATCAGAGCTGAGTTGGAGTCTTGACAGCAGATATAACACATTCTATCCCGCAGACATGTCACATCTGAGTATTTTGGTATTTCAGTTCTCCTTTTTTTTCTTAATCGAGGTACATGTTTGGACATTTTCCTGTCATCCTGCCATTCTTTTGCCTTCTTGCCATCTTTTTTTATTTTACTATTCATCTGCTTACTTTCCTGCTCTTCAGCTGTTTGCTTTCTCGCCTCCGAGGAGCAAAGTAACTGTTAGCTTTTCTCCTCTCTTTCGTCTGTAAAGTATTTGGTTTCGGTTTACCCTTGCTCTTATCCTGGGAGATGGCAGAGCCTTTTTTTAGAGAGGGCTTGGAAGATTTGACGGAGGAGGAGAAATATTTATGGTTATTTTTAAATGAGATTTTTTTTTTCTTTTTTTGTTATCTCTCTCAAATATCTGGATAAATCAAGCAGCAAGCCTGACATTCACATCATACAAACAGTTAAAATGTGCTGTTCAAAGTGCACGCTGCAACTGTGATCCTGACAAAAATGCGCATGTGCGCACACACACACACACACACACACACACACACACACAAAAACACCTGGGTACTTCAGCAGCACACTGCCTTTTATTTAAAATGCATCGTCCCATGAAGGTAAAGCGAAGGCTCAAAGAGAGGGTGAAACACGACCCAGACAAATGTGACACTTCCACACTTGTCTTCATGCTTTATTTTCTTTTTATCTCATTGTGCTCAGTCTTCATGCTGGATCAAGCCTTTTCTACTCTGTGCATGTGCTTGATTCGCTTTCATGCCCCTCATTGTTTGACAAAACAATTCCTTTCTTCTTATTTAATTTCTGTTACCTGCATACTGTAGATTCAACTCACGAATCCTCTACTGCTGTGGTCTCTCTTTTATTTGGGCATTAATTTAAACAAAGTGCAGAGGTCACCCCACAGTTCTGTCTCTTTTTTGCTCAGTCTGGCTGTCACAAAACAGTCACTGTCACACTTCATGCACATTTAAAGTGCTGTCCCCTCTAATGGTGTTCCCCTGGCCCGGCCACTGTCTGTACACTCACAAACTGTGCGCAGGAAATGAGCTGGGTCCAGTGGATGGAAGGTATTCTTTAAAGCCATGGCCCCTCTCTCAGGCTATTTGCTGTCTAATAGAGCAGAGGCTGCTGCTGCTGCTGCTGCTGCTGCTGAGGTCAACACATAGTTGGAGATTGAGCATAATGCAAGGCCTCTCATTATTGTCTAATTACACACTGTTGGCATCATACACTGTTGGCAGTGCATTACTCAAATCTAGAGTGGGTTATTTTTGCCCACTTGAGACTGTTGGTTTTACCAAGTGATTAGGACAGGGCCTTGTTGAATGTGGCTAACCGCCTCTGGTCTCTGACTCACACTGATGCAGGTGCACACAGACTCAGACGGCCACTGCTTCACACACAGAGACAACATGTCATTTTGGTTAGTTAAAACAAGCACCCGATGTTTGTCAGTGTCGTCCCCTCACCCCCCAAGCCCACACTGATAGCATAGGGCTCCACGCTACAATGGGCAACTGGTGAAAAGACCAGAGACATTCATTTGTATGGATTATTTCAACTGCTATTGTCTAAAGGCTGTGTTCATTGTGATCTATCTGAAAAAAAAGATGAAAAGATCAAATAAAAAAGCAATTACTAATAACGCTTGCTCTTGTCCTTGTATGAGTTGGTTGAGGAATGGCTAGTCATGGCTTTGATTTAATTTCTCTCCTCCCAAGAGATAACCTCCAGCACCCGATATTTTTGTTCTCTCAAGCATCTACGCGGCCAATTTTGCCTTGTCAAATAGGATTGCACTGTTTACTTCCACAGTGCCAGCTTACTTTGGATAAGATAAAAATTGGCTTTTTCAATTGCGTTCTTTGGTTTTCAACGCACATATGCATGCACCTTGTACCCAAGTATACACACACACACACACACTTCAAATGTTGCTTTGGGCAAATGACTCTTCATTCACTACATTAGTTCACATTTCCGCCACACAAAAGATTACTGCTCATGCTGTGTGCGCGTGTGTGTGCGTTTTCTTTTTCTAATTGCTCAGAGGCAAATAAATTGATGCTTGAAATTATGTGTACTAATGCTTCTCAGATAAGATGTTGCACTCCACCCTTCAGCTAGATTCGCATTCAGAGGCCAATTTGAAGTCTCTTCAACACTGGCCTGTGGTTAGAGAGATATACTGTATGCTTCCTCATTTGCTCAGTGAAATCTGGTTTGCTTAATTCGTAATTAATGGCTATTAGGTGTAAGTTGCTCAGAGTGGAACATACGCTGGCAGTGGCAGATGTGACCTCCCTCGTGGTGTTTAGTTCCCCAAGAAGAAGAGCGAGCAAACTTTTTTTGGAGCTGACTGGTGCTTAAAGTATTAGTGCTTTGGAATGGGTTTTTAATGTCCTCCTTTCAGTGTTTTCCAATACAAAATGACAGACCATAGAAGCTAATGATACACCATTACATTTATCTCAGGGAACTATTCCATCATCACTGTTTAGCTGCAGATGTACATATGGTTGTATGCTCTTGTGACTCCATGGATTAATTACCATACTGCTGTCTAAGGATTAAAGTTAGTATTTCCCAGACTGCAGTCTTTCTAAATGCTCGGTCAGGACTATCATATCCTAATTACACAAAGACTTCCCATAACCTGCCAGCAGTGGTGCAGTGGCAGGTATGCGCAGGTATACCATTGATAGACGAAGTTAACACTGATCATCTCATTACAATGCAATGTTCCGCTGGAAAACCTTGGGTCCTACATTCATGTGGATGCCACCTGACACACTCTACCTACCCAAACTCCATCGCAGACAAATGCCCACTCATGACAATGGCACTTCCCAATGGGGGTGGCCCCTCCAACAGGACAATGCATCATGCCACACAGCAAAAACTGTTCAGGAATGGCCTGAGGAACGTGACAAAGAGCTCAAGGCAATCAACCTGGGCTTTAATTCCCCAAATCCAAACCTGATCGAGCATCTGTGGAACATGTTGGTCATCCACCTCACAACCTACAAGACTCAAAGGATCCGTCTCCAATGCCCAGATGCCAGACACCACAGGACACCTCCTAGAGATCCTGTGTCCATGTCTCGACAGGTGAGAAGGGGTCCCCAGCTGAGATTGGGGATACCTCTGGGGTATCGGCACATCCCACAAATGTTCAATCACATTTGGATCTGGGGACTTTGGAGGCCAGGTGGATGCCTTGAGCTTGGTCTTACATTTCCCGGGCCATTCCTGAACAGTTTTCATGGACTGCCATCGAAGAGTGTTGTTGCCATGAGTGGGTGTACTTGGTCTGCATTAGTGTTAGAGTGGGTGAGGGTGTCCACATTAATGCCAGGACCAAAGGTTTCCCAGCAGAACAGCATTGCAACGAGATCATCAACGGTATCCACTTCATCTGTCCATCAATGTTTTGGCTGATCAGTGTAGAGGAGAGTACACCTGCCCATCTTCCTAGTAGTTCATCCACCTCAACAACCACCGCCTGCAAATATTCTTCCTGCTGATAACATGACATATCAGGAAATGTTTTTAGAAATATTCAAACTAAAATAACCTTCATTGATAAGTCATGTCTTGTGTTTGTAGTTGTCTCAGAATCCATCTTAACAGAGTTTTTTCAAAAATAACTGCGATGGTGCTTTGTGTGTGAAAATCCAGTGCCAAAAAGAACTCATTCAAAAACATCAATATAAATTATTTGTGGAATTATTTATTATTTGAAGAGGTCTCGATCAAATTCATTTTAATTTTGAACACAGAGGGAATGTTTTACCCCATACTGGAATTGCAGGCCATTGGTATGCACCAAGGCTTTTTCTGTTTGTATCTAACTATCCGCCTCGAGGCAGATATTAATTAAAAAGATAGCAGAGGTACTCACTTAAAAACACCACTTCTAGGACTGCAGGTGCCTCATGCTGTGCGGTCTTATTTGCCCTAATGGTAGGAGTTCCCATTAAACCTACAGCTTACCTTC